ATGCTTTTGTTGGTAATGTTTTTGCTCATATTTGGCACAATAGGCTTTGCCATCTCTCTTTTAAAAGATTAGATGTGTTAAAAGATCACTTGGTATGTGATATTGTGAAATCAAATAAACATCTTCCTTGCTATATTTGTCCTCTTGATAAGCAAAGAAGATTGTCATTTGAGTTCAATAATAACTTGTCCAGTAAGCTATTTGATCTATTGCATTGTGACATATGGGGACCTTATCATGTTACATCACATTCAGGATACAGATATTTCCTCACTTTGGTTGATGATTGTTCTAGATTCACCTGGATCTACATGCTAAAACAAATGATGTTGTGGCTATGGTACATTGATTTTTTAATATGGTTGCTACACAGTATAATGTGGCTATTAAGAGTTTTAGATCAGATAATGCTCATGAATTATCCTTCATTGAACTCTTTGCTGAGGGAGGGGTATCACATCAATTTAGTCGTGTTGAAAGACCACAACAAAATTATGTAGTTGAACGCAAACATCAACATCTTTTAAATGTAGCTCGAGCTCTATTTTTCCAATCAAGAATTCCTATCAAATTCTGGTCTGAATGTATGTTGACAGCAACCTACATAATCAACAGAATTCCATCTCCTCTTTTGCAACACAAAACACCTTATGAAGTGTTGCATGGTAATCCTGGTGATTACTTTATTCTTAGAGACTTTGGATGTTTGGTCTTTGCATCTACACTTACTGCATACTAGAATAAATTTCAGCCAAGAGCTAGATTATGCATTTTCTTAGGATATCCATCTGGAGTCAAAGGCTATATTTGTTGTTTCATCAAAACAGATTTTTATATCCGAGGATGTTGTGTTTCATGAAGAGATTATTCCTTTTCTTATTGTTGTGAAGGCTGATCAAGTGCTGGATCCTTTTCCTGATCTAGTGTTACCATCTCCATCATTATTTTCTCCTCATGATTTATCAGTCCAGTTAGATCGTGTCCCTTGTGATACTACCTCAAATGCAGATGCTCACAATACTCTCCTAAGTCATTTCATCCCTCGTCTCCAACTAATCACATTCCTCCTGATCATTCACAATCTACTATTTATATGATCCCTGACATTAGAAAATCCTGAAGAACCTTTAGACCTCCCAAGTACCTCAATGACTATCATTGCAATTTGATTTCACAAATTGATCATCCCATTGCTCATTCCCCAAATCATATTGGACATTTTGTTTCTTACAACAATCTGTCTGGTCCTCATAGACATTTGGTATTAAATATTTCACCCCAATTTGAACCTCAATACTTTCATCAAGCTGTTCAATTTCCACAATGGCATGAAGCTATGAAACTTGATCTGGAGTTATGGAATTTAATCACGCATGGTCCATTGTTCCTTAACCTCTTGGGAAACATTCCGTGGGATGTCAATGGATATAAAAGAATAAATATAAATCAGATGGATCCCTTGATAGGCATAAAGCGCGCCTTATTGCAAAAGGCTACACACAACAAGAAGGGTTGGATTACTTTACTTTGATACTTTCTCCCAAGTGGCCAAGACCTATGATGCTCGGCCTCGGGTACGGGTATCAGGTATGGGTACGTATCTAAGTGTCGGATCTTTTATTTGCTAAAATGTAGGATACAAGGACATTCCTGAAAAGAGTCCAAATTTTGGATACGGGTACATGGGTATCTCTTTTCAAGCTTCAATTTTTTTATTAATCCAAGATGTCATTTTGAATAAATCAAAATCAATTATTCATAAATAAAGAAATGAGTATTGAATAAGGGGTAAAACGAATAAAATTAAATTTTGGGGTTTAGTTTTCAGTTATGAGAAATTAATTACTAAATGTTATATAAAATAGAAAATGAGGGACTTGATAGTAATTTGGACTTAGTGGAGAACTAAGTAGCACTATATGGAACTCATTTTCATTTTATACAAATATATCTCAGGACCACCGTTACAGAGAGGAAAAGAAAAAAGAAAGAAGAAAAAGGGAAAACCTAACGCTGTCGCCTTCTCCACCCTCACACAGGCGGTGCTAGGTTTATGAAGAGCAAAATGAGAAAGAAAAGGAAAAAAAAAGAAAAGAAAAAAGAAAAGAAAAAAGTAGAAGAAAGAATAAAAATGAAGAAGAAGCAAAAACGGTAAAGTGTCCAATTGTAACTTGGAGGATCCGTTGCATATCTCATACCCATACCCATGTCGTGTCGTGTCCGACACGGATACTCCAACCATTTCGAAAAGTCCGAGCATCAGAGGCCAATACTATAACCGTCAAGTAATGCTCGCTATTGCAACCTCCCATAAGTGGCATTTAATCCAGTTGGATGTGAATAATGCATTTTTG